TTTACAACCATGTTACTAACTTGACAGTTGCAGTGATTCACTTAACAACTGTGGCAAGAAAGGTCATAAAATGAGGGAACACTCACTTAGCAAATGTCTCACTTAGCAACATAAATTTTGGGTTGAATTGTGGTTGTAAGTCGAGGACTACCTGTACTCTGCAGCTGGATGTTATAGCAAAGCTACTAAAAATGCTGCTGTGATGAATCTTTTATCTTGTAGCTGTGTGACATTTGGAACATAATGATATCTAGATTAAATGGAATGTTAGTGGAAAACAAAAACAAAAGATATTGGATACTGAGTATAGAGATGTGAAGGCAGAAGAAAATGCAGGCGTTTCAGAAAGAAATGCATAATTTAATTTTTTTTCTAATACCCTTTTTAAATGCCTTTTGAAAAGGAGAATTGCAAAGTAATATTTCTTGATATTGTTTTAGGGGAATACAAAAACAGTTAGCATATGAAAGAATGTGCTTATGTTTTGAAATACATTAAATAAAAAATACACTATAAAAGTGTAAATAAGCTTCCCCCCCTCCCAATACGGGCTTTCTTGTCTATTTTCCAAGTACATGAAAATTATGAAATGATAAAAGCTAAGATTGATTAGCATTTATGTACAGTATTTCTGAGTTAGGAAATAAGATCGATTAAAGACATTATATGGCATAATATGCATCTTGATCCTTGGATCTCACCCAGCTTTTTTTTTTTAAAAAAATGTGTACTATACATGTTAAGAATAGTAGAACAAAAGATCTAAAATGTTCAACTTTATTTTATTGAATTATTGATGGCTTATTCTGCCTCCTTATCATTTTGGGGGAGAGTGTTTCTGATACCAGATTTCTGATACCAGATTTCTGATACAGTCAATTCTATATTTGTGAGGCTTGCTCTGTATTATCACCACTTTTTCTTAAAGGGCTGACTAAACAAGCTTTGAAACTGGGTTGTGATGTTCTCACGAAACAGCTGATGAGACCTGACGGGTTAAAACTAACCTTCTGCCTCCCTGCTTGAGTTGTGCACTCCAATGAAGTATTTTCTATGTGTGAACAAGGCCAATGAAGTACACGCTGAGCAGAGGGATGCTTTGCCTTTGCAATGGAAGCCTCCTGATGATCTTACTAGTTTTAAACAGTGAAAACAGCCTGTCTTTGGTTGGAAAAATGGAAGGCTGTGGGCATTAATTCTTCTGGTTATCTTCTCATTCAGCACTCCATAGGGCACAGCACCAGATCAAAAAGACAGGGTTATAGTCAGTTATAGTACTCAGCACTATATTAATCTTACTCGACAGAGGAAGGGGAAGGAAGGGAGGGAGGAGAAAGATGGGGAGGAAGGGACGCAGCGGGGAAAGGGAAAGAAGGAAGGAAGGAAGGAAAGAAGGAGAAAGATGAGGGAGGGAGGAGAGGAAGGGAAGAAGAAGGAAGGATAAAGATGGGGAGGAAGGGAAGAAAAGGGAAGGAAGGAAAGAAGGAGAAAGATGGGGAGGAAGGGAAGGAGAAGGAAGGAGAAAGATGGGGAGAAAGGGAGGGAAAGGGAAGGAAGGAAGGAAGGAAGGAAAGAAGGAGAAAGATGAGGGAAGGAGGAGAGGNGTGAGCTTGGCAGGCTGGATTGCTGCCAAGCCTTATCTGTCCTGGATTGCTGCCAAGGAGCTGTCTGTCTGTTAATTAAATGCCGTAACTTATCTTTGGGTCGGAGTGTGTGTGTTGGTGTGGGACGAGGGGGGTCAGAACATCTTCCTATAGAAGAAAAGCCGAATGTTAGGATTCTTTGTAAATGTTTTTACCATTCTTTGTACCTGAACCACTTCCGTGCCTTTTTATATACCTTGTATTTAACGTACTGTATTAGGTGTATTATTGTATTAAAGGAAATGTATTTATTACATGTATGGGCTGTGATAAAGCTGCCATTAAAAGAGCTGTTTTCATCTACAGCTGCTCTTGAAGGATTATGTTCAGCCTCTGTCATCTATCACTACCCTGGAGGCACTGGAGGTAAAATTGGCTCTCGCAGGGCACAAGGAGGTTCATTTTCTGCAGAGGGAGGTAACAGGCATCGACCTGGTAAGCTTTTTTTATGTCTACCACCCGAAAATAAGATGGAGTTTGGCGTTATTTTTGGGGAGGTCTTATTATTTTTGAGGTGCAGGAGGCGGTGAGTGTGGTCACCTCATGGCTGCTGCTGGGTTGCAATATTTTTGGGGAGGGCTTATTTTCGGGGAAGGGCTTATTTTAGCGCATGCACTCAAAAGCCCGATTGGACTTATTATGCGGGGAGGTCTTATTTTGAGGGAAACAGGTTAGTATATTTGCAGGTTAAATATTTTGCACAAGTTTGCGAGGGTTTATTTTGCTTTGAATCTCTTTTCCAAGGATGCCCATGCTTCATGTAAGATTTTTTTTTTAGCCTTATGTAATCCTACGGCTTCTCAATTCTCCGCAGCACAAAGTTTTGTCCGCATATAAAAGTTAAGAGTTTTAGTGTTATTTTTTTAATGTGGAAAAATATACCATCCGCAGGAGAAAAATAGCACTGGCCTTGCAGAACGATAGCTTTACTGCACATGTCATTGACTGACTGCGAAGCTTACAAATTTGCTAGTTTTATTTGGGAGCAGAATTGAAGTAAAAATTAGAAGGTGAAGAGAGGTGCGATGCTGGAGGAGAAAAGATGCTGGATTTTAGACTTGAGACTAAAGAGGTTTTGCTGAATCGGAAGCGTTCATATCAGTAGCAGTGTCAGGAATCCTGTACTGGTGGTGCCGAGGTGGTGCAGTGGTTAAATGCAGCACTGCAGGCTTCTTCAGCTGACTGCAGTTCTGCAGTTCGGCTGTTCAAATCTCACCGGCTTCCATCCAGGGTTCCAGGGTTGACTCAGCCTTCCATCCTTCCGAGGTGGGTAAAATGAGGACCCAGATTGTTGGGGGCAGTATGCTGACTCTGTAAACCGCTTAGAGAGGGCTGAAAGCCCTATGAAGCAGTATATAAGTCTAACTGCTATTGCTATTGTACGATAACGCTTCTAAATTTTTTTAAAAAGTGTTTAAGAAAGAATGCACAGGTAGTTCTTGGCTTGTGACTGCAATTTGGACTAGGATTTAAATTATACTTCAAGGAACCCATGTGACTGGACCTGATTTTATGATAGTTTTTGTGGCAGTTGTTAACTGAACCACATGGTCATACGTCCAAATCTGTTCTCCTAAAAGGGTGTTTTTCGCTGGAAAACACGTTACAAATCATTGCCACGTGATTCCTGGACTTTGCAACCAGTCCTAAATGTGGGTTGGTTGCCAAACACCCAAAACGTGGTCATGTGACCGTAAGCGGGCAGGGTGACATTTTATGATGGCAATGTTTTATGGGTCATAAGACACCCTTTTCGAGGCTGTTGTAACTCCCAGTGATAATTAAATGAGTGGTTGAAAGTCAAAGATTGAGGGACCGTGGTGGCTCAGTGGCTAAGACGCTGAGCTTGTTGATCAGAAAGGCCAGCAGTTCGGCTGTTCGAATCCCTAGTGCTGCGTAACGGAATGAGCTCCTGTTATTTGTCCCAGCTTCTGCCAACTTAGCAGTTCAAAAGCAGGTAAAAATGCAAGTAGAAAAATAGGGACCACTTTTGGTGGGAAGGTAAGCGCCTTCGCCATTTAGTCATACCGGCCACATGACCACAGAGATGTCTTTGGACAGCGCTGGCTCTTCGGCTTTGAAACAGAGATGAGTACCGCCCCCTAGAGTCGGAAATGACTAGCACATATGTGCAAGGAGTACCTTTTACTTAAGTCAAAGATTACCTATATTAAGAATAATACTGTAGTGATTAAGATGCTGGGCTGGCATTGAGGAAATTCAGGCTCAACTTTACCCTGAGTTTTGGAAATAGATTCAATCGAATTAAATTCAAAAGGCTGTTGTGGGGAAAAACTGGAAGAGAGAGCATTATGTATATCAACTTAAACTTCAAAAATGTAACTAAAATAAAATGATAAAATAAAATATTTGGCAATGTTTTGTTTAGGCAGTGCAGATGGTTAATGCTGTTATTTTGATTTTTCCGCCTAGGTGCACAAGAAGTTCTTATTGATCCAGGTATATTGACTTTTTAATTATGTTTTATCAGCCAAATGTTTTATTAATAGTCTTCCACTGTTTTAGAAGTTTCCCTTCTGTGTTTTAAAACAAAAAAATACACCACACTGATGACTAGAATCTGCGGATTTAAAATTTTTCCAACTGTTCCTTCATCTTGTTTTTTTATAACCTCCATTGATTTCTTGTAATTCCCATTCAGTTACAATTTAATCATTTTATGATCTGCTCTAGAACTTTCCCATATATTGATGTCTGGCTGATCTCTAGTTTTCCCCCTTCAATTCTTTTCTTTCCTTGATTTCACACAGATGATTTGATTTCCTCCATCGACTGGAACTTCACCAGTTCCGTAGGATTTCTCATAAATCATATGTAAAGATTCTATCAGAAAAATCAGTAGATTCCTGTACATTATCAAAAATCTGCCTATTAGAATATTCCCATCAACATTAAGAAGTTGGAATTTTGACTGTTTGGTTTTGAATATATTGTACAAGACTATTTTTTTTGTTTTGAATAACTCATTCTCAGCTTTAGCTTTCTTAATCTCTCTATAGATCTGAGTTGGTGAGCTCTTTCTACTTCCTGTATGTGCCTTGTTTTGTCTCTCCTCTATTGTTCAGTCTTTGGAATAAGTTGCAATTTTTACTCAGATGTTTTTTTAAGAACTTCTCAAATGGACTTTCTTTTCTCATTTGCTTCCTTCCTTCGCTATAGAATCCTACTTACTATTGCTTGGAGTTTATTAAAATCTATTTTAGGCAGGAGCACTAATGTCCTAGAAGTATTTTATGACAGATTAGGAATTTTACCCACTTTTATTTCTTAAAGTTTTCGTTCCTTTTTCAGGCTCTCAGCCAAATGCTCAGACTGGTTGTTGTCTTTGATGGAAATTTTTTTAGGGAGCCTCTCTAAAAGTCTCTGCCAAATGTTTTTTTTTTTTGGCAAGCTCCTGTTGGTTCTTCCTGTTCACTTGCTCAGATAGATCTGACCAGCACATTTTCCCCAAGTTTGGAATCCAACTTTTTTAATTGTAATTTTTATGATAGCAAATTCATCCAAAATGCTGTGAGTCATTTCCTTCAGTAAATTGCTGCAGCTAAGAGAATCATTAGTTAAGTGATAGTATAATTACATTAAGTTTGTAGAATATAATGGTTAAGTATTAGTTTAATAATTTTTGCCAGAGCTTTTTCTCTGTGCTTTTTAATCAGTTTATAAGGCCTTGGTAAGGCCACACTTTGAATCTTGCATTCAGTTTTGGTCGCCACAATGTAGAAAAGATGTGGAGACTCTAGAAAGAGTGCAGAGAAGAGCAGCCAGGATGGTTAGGGGACTGGAGACTAAAACATATGAAGAACAGTTGCAGGAACTGGGTATGTCTAGTTAAATAGAAAGAAGGACCAGGGGAGACATGATAGCAGTCTTCTAATATCTCAGGGGTTGCCACAAAGACACACACACATACACATACTGTATGTATATATGCATGTATAAAGTCAAAATCTCTGCCCCCAGTTTGGATCCTACGTGAATATTTTTAACTCAGGGTTGAAATTAGAGGTCTTTGCTAGTCACTGGGGTTGATAATATTACCTAGAGCCTTGGTGATGCAGTGGTTACTGTGCAGTACTGCAGTCTATTTCTGCTGCCTACTGTCTACCTGTAATTTGGCAGTTCAAATCTCACCTGGCTCAAGGTTGACTCAGCCCTCCATCCTTCCGAGGCTGGTAAAATGGGGACCCAAATTGTTGGGAGCAATATGCTGACTCTCTAAACCACTTAGAGAGGGCTGTAAAGCACTGTAAAGCGGTATATAAGTTTAAGTGCTATTGCTAGGGTTTCCTTCCTAAGCAGGGGGTTGAACTAGAAGACCTTCAAGGTCCCTTCTAACTCTGTTATTCTATTCTATGCAATTGTTTGGGTAATATAATGTCTGCAAAAAAACAACAACCCAATCAAGCTCAGAGAGCACTAAAGAACCCTCCTAAGTTTGTTCCTTCTTCAAACTTTTTTTTTGGAATTAGCAAGGATTTCCAAAGCGTGTTTGCTTTAATTCTGACCTGAGTGTGGTGCTCGAGCTGAAATTTCCTGCTTTAATGTTATGCAGGGGCCCTCACATCAAATGGCATCAGTGCAGATACAAGTTCTGAAATAGGACGAGCTAAGAATTGCCTGAGCCCCGAAGACATCATTGAAAAGTACAAAGAAGCCATTTCCTATTACAGCAAGGTAACGTTGCTCATAATATAAGTGAGCTTATAGACGTGAATCATAAATATGCATCAATGATAATAGACTGTGGCCGGCTCAGGAATTCTGGGAGTTGAATCCCATAAGTCATGACGTTAGCACAGTTGCCCAGCTCTGGATTACACACAGCAACCTACATGGCTGATAATAGACTTAAAGAACAGGTGGAGATTTGTGGAAGTGCTAATTGGCTGAATCAGCACCTTTTCACATAGCTGCTCATTTTTGTACAATAATAGCTGTTAAAGAATGTCAGTGTAAATTGTATTTTTTTTCTTTTCTTAAGGGAAATTCCAGATTCGTACTCAAATGCAAAAAAAGGTTTATTTGTATATTTAGAGTGAGAAGTAACATAAGTTATCAAATCTTGGGCTTCTTGTTATCATAGTCCTTTCGTGTTTCTCATTCTGGCTCAGTTACCCGAGGGAATTTGGAGTCTTCATTTAAAAATAGAAATGAATCATTATCTCTGCCTACATGTGGCCAGGCTTTGATTAACAGTAAGTGGATTGAAGAAACAAATCAACTTCCAAACAAGGTTTAGGTTACTAGGACTTTATTCTCTAAAGCGAAGGCATTTGGGGTTTTGCCATGATCAAGATTTATTTGCTTTATGTTAGCCGTACAAGTCCATTATACTTTTTATAAACTCTGAAAGTCCCTCAGGATTGCAGCAAGGTATAAATATAATAAATATATTTCCAGAAGAACACAGCAACTATAGTAGAAAAGATAGATCTAGTTCTAAACATCGTTAATGAAAGAAAAAGCTAAAGTGGCTTGTTTTTCTTCTTCTTGTGACTTTCAGAAGATAGAGGATCTTGGATCTGCACATTCATATATTCATATGTTTTGTCAATCTTTTGAGAAATATGACTGCTTTTTTATAGAATAGAATTCTTTATTGGCCAAGTGTGATTGGACACACAAGGAATTTGTCTTTGGTGCAGATGCTCTCAGTGTACACAAAAAGACAAGATACATTCATCAAGAATCATAAGGTACAACACTTAATGATAGTCATAGGGTACAAATAAGCAATCAGGAAACAAAATCAATATCAATATAAATCATAAGGATGCAAGCAACAAAGTTAAAATCCTGCAGTCATAAGTGGGAGGAGATGGGTGATAGGAATGATGAGAAGACTAATAGTAATAATAATGCAGCCTTAGTGATTGGTTTGACAGTGTTGAGGGAATTATTTGTTTAGCAGAGTAATGGCATTTGGGGAAAAACTGTTCTTGTGTCTAGCTATCTTAGTGTGCATTATTTATAAGAGCATTTGCTTTGCAGTGGAGGTATGGTTTTTAAACATTGCCCTCCATTTTTGACTTGTGGGCTGAAAGGAGAAAAGATAAAAGTGATGGTTTGGGAAGATAAGAATCAAGAAAGAAATTGTTGGTGGAATAGCTGCGATTTGTCTGTAAACAGGCATAATTATTAAGAAGGCATAACTATAGATTAGCTATGTGCATTTTCTGCACATAATTTACCCCCTTTTTAAGCACTTTGATTCTCTAGTAGAAGTCCTCGACTTTCAACAGTTCATTAGTGACAGTTCAAAGTTACAAAGGCACCAAAAATAAAGAGAGGACAATTTTTCACACTTACAACTGTTGTGCCATCTCCCAGTCACGTGTTCAAAATTCAGACGCTTGGCAACTGACTCATATTTATAACGGTTTCAGTGTCCCGTGGTCATGCGATCCCCTTTTTCTGACAAGCAAAGTCCAGATTCACTTTACAACCATGTTACTAACTTGACAGTTGCAGTGATTCACTTAACAACTGTGGCAAGAAAGGTCATAAAATGAGGGAACACTCACTTAGCAAATAAAATATGGGGAGAAAGGGAGGGAAAGGGAAGGAAGGAAGGAAGGAAGGAAAGAAGGAGAAAGATGAGGGAAGGAGGAGAGGAAGGGAAGAAGAAGAAAGGATAAAGATGGAGAGGAAGGGAAGAAAAGGGAAGGAAGGAAAGAAGAGAAAGATGGGGAGGAAGGGAAGGAGAAGGAAGGAGAAAGATGGGGAGAAAGGGAAGGAAAGGGAAGGAAGGAAGGAAAGAAAGAAGGAGAAAGATGGGGAGGAAGGGAGGAATTTATTAATTGAATTTTGACTGTCCTCTCCTGCATCGTTTCACAGTGGAATTTCTAGGTATTTCTCAAATGGTATAAAAAAAATAAGAGGATGGTTTCATAATTTGTGGCTCTTTATGTATCCATAGATGCAACCATAGGGTTTGGTTAACGTTAATAACCATGTTTTAGTCCTGGCTACATTTCAGCAAAATAGATTCCTCTTGAGTTGTAGAACAGCATAGCTTGATCTGGTATACCAAAGTGGCCCTAGGATTCTTGTAGAGAAATACCTTGTGTAATGTGACCAGGAAATATACAATAGACCAATATTTTAATCCCTTATGTATGTTTTATAGTATAAGAACGCTGGTGTCATTGAGCTGGAAGCTTGTGTGAAGGCGGTGAGAGTGCTTGCAATACAGAAAAGAAGCATGGAAGCTTCTGAATTCCTCCAAAATGCTGTTTATATTAACCTTCGTCAGGTGAGAACACACTTTCCTTTTAACTGGGAATTAATTTCTCCATCGGTCTTTGGATTATTTTTAAGAACAGAAGAACTTTAATAATTTTCACCAAACACCTGTCTAGTTCTTGTTTTCCCACAATGAGGAACTTGATGCCATTCTGTAAAAATAATATCTGAGTTTTCAGAAATAGTCCTAAGTCACATTCTCTATTTATATGTCTATTCTCTTTTGTTATTTTGTATGTATATGAAGTTATTCCTCAAACATAAATGCTTAACTTTAGAAAGCAGCTATTTCTTACAGATTGAAAGAATTAACATTTTAGATATACATTATTTCTTATCAAGCTTTCAGATTGAGACTCTAGAAAAAGTGCAGAGAAGTACAACCAGGATGATTAGAGGACTGGAGGCTAAAACATATGAAGAACGGTTGCAGGAACTGGGCATGTCTAGTTTAATGGAAAGAAGGATTAGGGGAGACATGATAGCAGTTTTCCAATATCTCAGGGGCTGCCACAGAGAGGAGGAGGGTCAAGCTATTTTTCAAGCACCCAAAGGCCAGACAAGGAATAATGGATGGAAACTGATCAAAGAGAGATTCAGGCTAGAAATAAGGAAGAATTTTCTGACAATGAGAACAATCAACCAATGGAAGTTGCCTTCGGAAGTTGTGGGAGCTTCATCACTGGAGGCTTTCAAGAAGAGATTGGACTGCCATTTGTCTGAAACGGTGTAGGGTCTCCTGCTTGAGCGAGGGGGGCGGGCGGGTTGGACGAGGTGATCTATAAGCTCCCTTCCAACACTGTTAATCTGAATTTACATTATTTCTTATAAAGCTTTCAGATTTCCTTTTATAGATAATGCAGAAAATGCCTTTTCCCATTATATATTCCATAAAATGCAGATAGGCAACAAGCTGTTTTCCTATTGGCACTTAGTTTGGTGTTCACTCCGTTTCCTGTCTACAAAACACTTTTTTAAAAAAAAAATTAAAAAAAAATTACAAGGAAGTTGGCCCCTGCAAACGTCTCCCAATTCCTCTTCCTTTGTGTACATTCAACTTTGTTAATTACACTACTGTTTTGTTCCATTAAAATTCATTAAAATCTTTGGATATACTTGAACAAAATTTACATTCGTATCCTAACATTACACTAGGGGTCAGCAGCGTCGCATCATAAAAATGATTAATGCTCTGACTGGATTAGTGGCAATACAAAATATTGTTTAATAGACTTCTAAATTATCTAAATACAGTGCTTTGCTTGCGGGGGGGGGCTTACTCTCTCTTGCAGAGTTATTTCTGTCTTTAACTGGAATAGTTACATGACAAAAAATAGACTTAACGGAATCATGGAAGCCAACTCCTGCTCAGTGCAGAAATTCAAATTAAAACAGATGCCAGCCCAACCTCTGCTTTAATGGACTGAGAGAAGGGAACCCTTTTCGGTTTAAAGGCACCCAACCTCTGGCTAAACAACCTCGTGGGGTTTCCGTGCAATAAGAATACTGCTGGGTTGGTTGCATTTGAAATTAAATCTTGTCTTTTGGGAGCTTGTAATATTTTGATACCCAGCAAGATTTTTTTTTGTACTCCCTGAACAACTTACGCTAAGCCAGAACAACTATCTGCTGAATAACTGATGATGCATCATTTTTTTAATCTGTAGGAAAACATAATAACATCCTCCCCACCCCCTCCGTTTTCTGGCAATTTCTGATTGGGGTTTCCATTTTACCTTAGTCGTGAGATAGCTTTCACTCTTCCATTTAACTAAGACATATTTTGCTTCCATCTCAAAATGGGTTTGTTTTGTGTTCTGACCCAGGCTTTCCTTAGAAAGCAAGAAGGAAAATCTTGGTCCCCACAAAACCTCTTTTATTTACACAACTGTGAATTCCTTTCATTCGCAGTCAGCAAGGCTTTAGCAAACAGTCTTTCTGAGGAATGTTTATCCACACGCACCTTATCTTGTTTAGAGCGCTGCCAGACACAGGGCAAAGCAAAACTTGACACAGAGTCTCTTATAGTCACAAACAGAACTTTCCACTCTTGAAAGGACCGAAGGGACGAATTGTTTCCTGCAAAAGCCCACTCCCCATTCGTTCCTCCTTTATTTCCTCTGGGAGGGGCCAATCACCTCCAAGGTGTGGCTTTATTCTTAAGTCGACCCTGCTTTCTTAGTTGTTCTTGTCTTATGTGCATGCATACACTGGGAACAGGCTCCAGCTGTTCTTCTGCCTCACTGCAGATGCCGCAATACTTGGCAAGAATGCAGGAATGAACTAATTGTCTCCTGCAAACTCCACTCCCCCTTCGCTCCTCTTTTATTTCCTCTGAATTCCCTTCACCATCCACCTGTGGCCTTACTCCCAAGTCGACCCTTGTTCCTTAGCTGTTCCCTTTGTCTGGCAACTCTCTGCATGGGCACACTGGGAACAGGCTCCAGCTGTTCCTCTGCCTCACTGATGTCCGACTTCGAAGGCAGCTGATAACTGTCAGATGGCTCTGGCCCCCTCTCTGTCTCCAACACAGAGCCCTCTTCAGAGACTTCCTCAACCCCCAGGACTGGCCCATGTTCCTCCCCAACCTCCTCATTGTCCGGTTTTGCTGGCTGCCGGCAGGCCACAACAGTTTGTCACTTACTACAGGGCACATGAGTATTTCAGTGCACAAAAGAAAGAACATGCTACTTTATTTTCAAAGAGCCATTTGGTTTTGTAAAGTAGGATACACTTCTGACTATATACCATTTTTGTATTGAGAAACAGTTAATATCCTTAACAGTTTTATGGATAGGCTAGGCAGTGGCACAGTTCTTAAAAACACACTCTGCTGAAAACCCAGGGGCTGATCTGATAAGAGATGGAATTCAGTTTGTCTCCCTGGAATATTCCATAAAACGCTAGCAGAATATTAAAGTACGTTCTTCTGCTATTACAATATACAGGTAACTTTCCAATGCTAATTACAGTTATTTTTATAAAATTGTTTCTCAGCTGCTTATATAACAGATGTTCAGAATCCAGCAGCAGGTTCTGCCTTGTTCTGATTTTTTTTTTCTTTTAACGATGTAACCAAGTGATGTTAACTATTGTATGGACTGCAGATAAATTTTTCCCACTTCTATTTTTCTTCCACTGCACTCACACATCCCTAGGCAGTTTAGAAGTCAAATTATCAAACTATAAACATTGTAACAATTCTCCCAAAATTAATAAAATGTTAAAATAGCCTACTAATGATTAGATATGAAGTGAAATGCAGATCTTAAGTCTTGAAGCATCTATGTGAAAAGTCTCGTTTTAAATGCTTTCTAAATCTTACGCAGAGGGATCATATGTCAGAGAGGCGGCAGAAATAGAGAAGTGTAGCTTGTCTTAAACCACAAAGCTTTGTTTGGTAAAAGAGATTTAAAACTATTTATTATTGCCGTTACTTATATGTTGGAAGAGGCAAACTCTGGGTTTTTTAAGGCTACAGTAAGAAAATATCCTGGAGGTTGCTGCCGCCATTACTGCCAGTTCGGCAAAAAATATTTTGCACGTGTGCCGTTGCTCCGCTCCATGCGCACAACTTTAGAAAACACAAAAAAAAATTTGCAATGAAGATTGTTCTGCGCATGCGCAGAACAGAAAATCAAAATGGTGCTGTTGAGGATAGAACAGGTTCGAGTGTGGCCGAGTTACTACCTACTCGGCCAAACCGGGCCGAACCGATAGGAACCCACCTCTGAAAATACCTGAAGTGGAAATGTCTGTCCCGTGGCACGACAAAACCGCGCTCGTCAAAATCGCGGTGATAAAATCGCGGCGCTAAAGCCGCAACGTCATCACCGCGCATCATCACCGCCGCGACAACAGCGCGGCAACAGAAGGGCGTTTTAAAACGGTGCCGCGGCAGAAAGCCGACTTCAATTAAGGTAAGGGTTAGGATTAGGTTTAGGGGTTTGTTTTAGGGTTAGGTTTCGGGTTAGGTTTCGGGTTAGGTTTCGGGTTAGGTTTC